ACAACATCAGACATCTCAGTCCAGAAATGTGCAGTTCTAGGCACAGCCAAGATACTGCGCAGAACCCTCAAGCTCCCAGGCCTCTGGTAGAGGACCCGAGCTCAGAGGATGAAAGAGACCACCCACGGAGGATGAGAGGGGAATTTTTTATATATATAGTTGGAATAATGGTTAAATATGAAATTTTGCTCCATGCATCCACTCCAGCAGTTGATGGGCGAACGTCGGGGTCAGCCCTGGAAAGGTCACCAGTCCATCAATGGGCGACTTAGAAAAATACAGGACAGACAACCAACCACACAGTCCAGTACTTGATCCTTCAATCAACACTTGGTTATGACTGCAGCTGAGATAATGATGTAGGTTAGCACCTGTTCTGATTAACAACGACCGTCAATCTTTTTGCCGTGGAAACGCTGACCTATCAACAACACCTCAAAGTGAGCGGTTTTCGTGATATGCAGCGCTGTGAAAGCTTCGGCCATCCAGTCCACTCACAGAGATTACAAATTAACCTCAAACCTTTTTTTAAATTGTCTTTTTTTTTTCTTCTTATGTAAGAAGAAGGAAGTTCTCAAGTGTGACATGTGCCCTGTAGAAATTCACAGATTATCTTAGCATTTAAAGGTTGTAAAAGTTGCCCAGCAGAGGACATCCGCAGCTCCGCAGTTGCACATAAATATAGCCTCACTTAGAGAACATGCAGTCTTTTTACTGTTCTCAATGTGCTCAGAGTTTTGGTTAACCACAGGCTGACTCGAGAAAAGGGCTGGGTATGAGAAGCTGCTGTGAGTTTTCTAATGGAACCCGAAGTTGCTTTAGTTGTCATGTGAAACGGGACAGAAGAGAAAACATTTCTGCTCAGCAGCACGGGTCGTCGGTACAATGTTGAAATGTGGAAAAGTTGCCACATTAATGCAGGAAATCTCTTGGGGTTGTGTTGTAGACACGAAAGTGAACTTCCTATTTTAGCCCTGCTGGTATTTTGAGCTCTTAAGTAACACGTTCTCTGCAAGAAGGAAAGAGGAGTTCAAGAGAGAAAAAAACTGAAAAATGTGCAGAAATTTCTGAGGAAAAAAAGAAAGACATGTAAGTACAACTTGATTACTTGTATTTAATTATTTTTGAAAATTTGGATAGAATTCAAATAAACCAAAAACTTACACCTACGATTGTTCCCAGCCTGTAAAGTTTCTTTGCAGAGGTGTCAAACCGTTGCTCTGTGTGCATAAATAGGCTGAGCGTGCCGGTCATGGTGTTTGTGTGTTGGTGTCCAGGGCAGTGCATGCTCCTGTTAACGGGACGACAGCAATCCCGTGGCGAAGCAGCCGGCGGAGACTCTCGCCGCTGGAGAAGCTCAGGGGATGTCAGGACGCCTGGTGTCCCGGGGCCCCTTGGGGCAGAGAGGGGGCCCACGCTGCCATCCGTGGAGCACCAGCCGGGGTAAGAGAGGAATTACATGTTGAGTGACAACAAGGTCGTGATCAATAATTTGTTGAGAGCATAATTTCTATACTAGAATCCGACCACAGACCTACTTACTTTTTTGTGTTTTACTTTTTTATATGTATATAAATTCTGTTGTTGCCCATCTAAAAACAGACAATTATGCAAAAAAAAAAGACTTTTCAAGTTTCTACCTCAAAAGACATTTAAAAATAAATAGTGCTTAAATTTTTTAGTAGCCTTTTAGGTTTTATGTTAAAATGGAAACAAAATATGACAAACTCTTTAGAAATGTCCTCAACTGAGTAACTGAGTCTCAGATACGTCCAAATGTTAGAGAATTTAAAAACCTGTGTGACATGAATGGATGGATTCTATTTTTGTTGTTGCCGTCTTTCTCTAACACTACTTGCGATATTCATCTTCATTAAAATCGACAATCATTTGTAAGTTTCTGTTTTTAAACTTATCTTCAATTGGAAAAAGTTGAGGAGCCTTGTTGTCTAAAGGACAAGAAGTATGGCTCCTAAAATTTGAATATTGTAAAAAAAAAAAAAGTTCTGACTTTTGAAAATGAGTCTTATGTTATCGTTATACATATATTGAAATATTTCATCCTTTTCCATCCATCCATCCATTTTTTTACACCCTTGTCCCTTATTGGGGACGGGAGGGGTGCTGGTGCCCATCTCCAGCTAACGTTCCGGGCGAGAGGCGGGGTTCACCCTGGACAGGTCGCTAGTCTGTCGCAGTATTTCATCCTTTTATTTCTTGTAATTTTGATGGATAATAAAAGCCCAAAACTCTGAATAATACATAAGATCAGGCTTCTGAGAAGCTCATTTCTATGCATTAATTTCTTTTTTTTTTTTTTTTTTGTGTAAATTACTTCACCAGTGCGTCGTGACATGGAAGTGATCAGGTAACGGTGTTATGGTCATCTCCCCTGCTGCGTCTGGTGTTCCTTGTCTTCCTCTTGACAGCAGTTTGTAGATTTTCTATGGGGTTAAAGGTCAGGAAAGTTTACTGGTCCATCAAGCTCAGTACCACCACATTCACTGAAGCAGCTTTTGGTACCTTTGGCAGTGTGGGCAGCAGGTGCCAGGTCCTGCTGGAAAATTAAACCAGCATCTCCGTACAGCTTGTCGGCAGTGGCTTCATTTACTGTGGTCTTCAGAAAGCCCAGTGGAAACGACTGTTGAACCAACAGATGATTCCACCAAACCATCACCGACTGTGGAAACTTCACACTTCTGTGCCGCTCCGCTCTTCCTCCAGACAACTTGGACCTCGATTTCTAAATGCAGAGCTTATACGTTCATCTGAAAACTGGACTTTGGACCACTGAGCAACAGTCCAGTTCCTTTCCTCCTCAGCCCAGGTAAGATGTCTCTGATATTGAGTGGTTTGACATGTGGAATGCAACATTTGCAACCCATATGTAGGCTTCGTCTGTTCGTAATGCCTCTTGGTGCGCTGACTTCAGCCTCAGTCCACTTCTTGTGAAGCTGCTTGATGATCCTCTCAAAGCTGCAGCTACGCCAGCTGCCATTGCACCTTTTTCTTCTACACGTCTTCCTTCCACTCCACTTTCTAAGGAAGTGCTTGGATACAGCCCTGTGTGAACAAACAGCTTGATCAGCAATGACCTTTTGTGGCTTGTTCTGTTAATGGAGGGGGTCAATGACTGTCTGTTGGACAACTGACAAGTCAGCCGTCTTCCAAACTCTGTAAGCTACAATTTGCAATTTGTGGATTCACCAAATATAGTTTTTATTGATCTTTTATTGATCATCTGAGGCCTTAAATTTTGTTTTTAACAATCTGCAAGCCGTAATTATCAAAATTACAAGAAAGAAAACCTTGTCATATTTAACTCTGCTGGTCATATTATATAGGAACTTCACTTTTAGAAGCGAGTGACACCAAATTTTGAACTTTTTCACAATATTCCAATCTTTTGAGCTTTACTCTTCTATTATAGTGTTTGAACATTTACATTTTAAATTGTGTTTGGACTGCTGATATAAACTGCTGATATAGACATATCAGCAGTTTATTAATATGCAAAAAGACGTGAAACTAAGAATTCAAACCACATGTAGTTTGACAATGGAACTGAAAGCTGCAGAACAGTGATGGCATTTCATTTGCTCCTCCGAATTTGGGCATCGGTGCATCACAGTGTGGGTCCAATAACCCAACTAAGACATGAAAGTTCTCCCGGAAGCTCAGTCGAGCTTTAATTTACCACACTGAAAGTCAAGGTCTGTTTTTGTTTCTTCTTTTGCCAGACCAGTGGATTTCTAATCATCAGGACCCATTGTAAAGCATGTTTTATTTCTTTCCCTTCCTCCACATTCCTGACTTAAATAATTGGATGATTAACATGATTCTTTAACACCTAATGGTGTGTTAAAGAGGTAATTCATTCATTTGTTTCAGGTGTGCTGGTTCAGGAAAACCTGTAAAAAATGAAGGACAAAGCGCCTTGAGGACCAGGATGTAAAACTACTGGTTCTCAAGTCACAATGCCCTGAATTTCTTTTGCCGTTTCCCTGCTTGAATACATTTGATTTAAATGCTTGTGGTTAAGCAAAAGCCTGGCAACCAATAGTTAGCAGGTAAAAGCCTGTTAACCAGTCACCAATTAAAATCAGGCATGCTGAAGCAGGAAAACACGTTAAAACATGAAGGTCAGTTTGTCTTGATGACCAGGGCTGAAACACTCTGGTCTAGGTCGCCTGACCAGAGACTAAGTCAACAAGAAGACCAAACCAATTTCATGGCTGTAATAATATTATAGTGGTTGTGGCAAATATAAGAAAGTAGGTGTCCAATAAGTTAGCTCTCCATTTTTACATTATAAAACACTGAATGTTTCACCAAGTTGCAGTAAAGAAAGCAATGTGATTCTGACTTTCCTTGAGGAAAAAAATTGAGTCCAGCAGGTCTGAGATCCACACAGGATGGACTGAAAATGTATTCAAGACCAAGACTTTGAAAATGGGGTCTCAAGACCAAATCCACTCAAACTACGACATGGTAATGGGGGTTTTGTTTTACAGAAACATTACTCTATTACTTTGCTACCGATGATCCAACCGTTTATCATCTATAAACTTTTTGTGTTTAGATACGTTCTCTGTGAATCTTTACTAATCATCTAATTGTTTAATGTGAGAAATTAAGCTATTTCTCCTCCAAAAGGAGCCTGATGAAGCTACGCAGTTCATGTCGTCATCTCTCTGTTTCATATTTGCATGGATAAAATTATTATTCTGCTTAGTTTTATGAATATTTCAGCTCTTCTTAACATAAACCGATGTAAGAAGTTTCTAAAACAGAATATGTTTCTCCCTCAGTCCTCAGAATAATTTCTGATCACTTTGGGCATCCTGTTTCTTGGATCTTCTCATATTCATGCCCTTGTTGCTAAGTTTTGCATATCACCATCAACCTTTTGGTTCTTTTATGCAATCTAAGTCTTTTCTGAAAGTTGATATCTTGAATTAGCAGATAAAACACAAAAAAGTTTTGCTTTCAGCCAAAGGTTTTTTTATTTTGTGTGTGTGTGTCCTGTTCAGCACTTGCTCTCTCCGAGGCATCAGCAGTTCCCTTTTCTGTTTTACATCTGAAAATACAAAAAAAATGCATTTTAAGCTAAATGCAGAAGTACTGTTGAATAACACCGTGAGCGTATCAGGGAAATGACTTTACAAAATGGATGCACCAGCTGCGGAGAAGCTCTGTGAGTAGCAAAAGATGTTCGCTTTCTACAGGATGATCGTTTTAAATCGTACCATTCTGTTTATGCCAACTGGAAGCTTTGGGTTATTAACCCATGAAAGAGGAAGAAGGTTTTTTTTGGCACAGTTTTCCGGTGTGTTGTGGAGTTTGTGGTATGACATAGATGTAGAACAAAAAAAAAAAAATGACTCGGCGGTTGGGTTGTAGTGAATCACCTAAAAAAGTGGACGTCACTTGTCTCATTCTTTGTAGAGTGAGCTTGTCTTTATTTCTGAGCTCTCGGAGTCTGAAAGCCACATCTTGCATGTGTGTTTATAATTTTTTTCATCCTAATGTGTGGGAATACCTCTGAGCTGAGGTGACATTACTACATGAGTGAGCAGTTGCTCTGGACTCAAAGTGCTTTGTGTTACTCAAGTCCACTGTGACTCAACCAACCGCTTTCTCTCTGTTGCTGCTTCTGCTTCCAGGAAAACGCAAAGGTGATCTGACTGATAACAGCAGTCTCTAATAACAGCATCTCAGTTTTTTGTTTTTTTTTATCTTTTGGTAGAAACGTCGAAAATGCTTCTTGAGATGATGTAAAGAAACTTGTTTTAGATAAACGGTTAAAACTTTTGAGAGCTTCCTCTTTTTTTAAGCAATGCTCTGCAAGTATATACTGAGAACCTCTGCCTTCAGATTTCGATTTAAATGTTGCTGGATCCTGATTGGTTCATACAAGTGTGACATCACATTTTTGCTTTCACACATATGCGAGTAACCTGGAAGAGATAACAGGTTGCTGTGTGTCTATTACAAGGATAAACCAGTGGCATTGCTGTGTTAAAATTACTAAAACGGTCACATGAAGGTAATAAATGTTTATGGATGTTTTGCTTTTTTTTCCGAATAAATTAACCATTAACCATGATCCACAAAGTTAGTTTCTGAAAAACAGGATGCCATTCACAAGTTTATGAGAACAGAATTTAAAGGAAATACTTCCTAGACTTTGTGTCACAAGTGAATTTTTATTTATATCAGATGTAGTGGTGAGTTCAGATCATGGAGCTGTCACTGTAGATCAGAAAACCCGCTAAACATATTTAGTTCAATATATAATGAAGGAACAACGGTATGAAAACAGAGCCTTCAGCAGGAACGGTACAGTAATTGTACAATATTGAAGTTATCTTTAAATATTTTAATATTTATTAAAAGTTAACTATCACATGCTCACGTTATAACTCCGGCCTAAGAACTGAAGTTCTAACCTACAACATCGTGGGGTTAGAAGGGACCTAGATGTTGTAAATTTGATTTGTAACTTGAGACTTCACTCTGAACTGAGGCAAAGGTCTTGAGACTTGACTTGGACTTTTCCCTCAAATATTTGAGAGACTTGGACTTTTTTAAAAAATGACTTACAAATGTGTGTGTGTTTGGTCCTGAAACAAACCTTCCTCAAATGTTTTAATTAGCTTTTACCACAATCCTCTCCTGACTGTGGTTATTACTGTTGCTTGTGTACCTTTTTCTGACACGTTTTTTTATTCCAGATTCATCCAGATTCCATATCCACTCATTTCTAACAGTCTTCCCCTTGACCATAGAACATAACTAACATGTTTGTAAAAATCCATTTTTATTGTTCATACAAGACGAATGATTTTTGTTTTTAGGCCAACAGTCGAATAGCAGAACAGAATCTGCTTTGTTAGATCAATCTTGCTGCAAGATCTACCACGTAGAACTGCTGAGACAAACTGAGCTATGTCTGGGTCTCAAGCCCCTGATAGTAAACTTCACCACAGACAATATCTTAGCACATCAACGCTTAGAGAAATGTATTTGAGTCTTTGAGAGATCAGAACAGCACCATGTTGCTAAAAGATGAACTTCTGTAGCTGTCAAAAACCACACTTTGAAACTGTCAGAGTTTTATATCCACGCCTCGGTGTCTCTCTTCTTGTGGCCTGGTTGCCATGGAGTCCCGCTGCGAGGTTTGTGTGTGTTGGTGTTTCAGAGGAAACGTCTTACTTCTCAGCGGGCTTCAGTCGCACTTCATACAGCTAAACGAGCCACTTTGTGTTTCCCTGCAGAGCTTCCTGGTTGTGCGGGACTCTGTGACGTCTCAGCCCTGCCTACTGTGTGTGTCTGCAGGGGATCAGAATGGAGAAGTTCTCGATTATAATATGAACTGCAAGGAAACAGGTACGAAAACAATGGATACAAACATTTACCTGGGTGGAGCCGGGTCAACTGAGGTCCATTGAGTTTCACTTTTGACATCTCTTTACTGATTTGTTACTTCTGCTAAACATTGCAAACAAACACGTCAAAAAGTCAATATTATGATAAGGCCAATGACACCTTCAAATTTAAATATATCTACATATGTTCAAATATGCACCCAGTTATACTTGGTTACACGTTTCCCTTCAAATAATTTTTTCGTAGCCATCAAGAAGTTTTACATGTTATTCTTGAGGATATTAGACATCCCTTTTTTGACAAAGGTGGTAGATTTAATTTGAATTGGTTAGTTTCCTGACATGCACACTGCTGCTTTTAAACATATTTAGAAAAGTATCTGTACATTTGAGGTCAGGGCCTTCCAAAAGCTTCACATTAACCTGCTTTATTTATCAGTTTTGTGTGTTTAGGAGAATATTTCCTTTTTGACACCAAGTTGTGCTAAATTCAGTCATCTGTGTTGGTAAACAACCAGCCTCTTGTTCTATACTTTGCTTTGAGGCATGAACTCTGCTGAAGTTTAAAACTTTACCCAGTTGCTAACATTTGGCCGTGACATATGTAATGCACCAGTTCAACGTTATGAAGCTTACTGGAAATTGCCTGCAACCCTCCTCCGCTGTGAAGAAATGAGACCACTCTTAACGTTAATTTAATATTTGGAAGCGTGGCCAAATATTGCATTCACTTCCTCCGCTGCCTTTGCTAAAACTACAGGCAGACCACAAATCTAAAACAGTGCATAAAATTGATGTCATCGTTCACCACTTCTCCTTCTGCTCTCTGATTGGCCCGATAGAAAATCTACAGCAGGAATCCACTTCAATGAGAGAAATCACACGGACTAGTGAAGTGGAAGGCAATGGCCAGGCTAATATTTTGATGAGGTTGATGAATTTTAAGATTCCACCTACTACATGCAATAAACCAGAACTGTAGGCAGTGAAACCCAGGCCCAAAGCATTATATGCCACCACCATGTATGACAGTTTGTACTCTTAAGTTTTGAACGTACTTCACATTGACTGTCAAATATACATTTTGACAGTTTGCCAAAATATTATCCCACCATGACAACCAGCTATGCATAAACTGGGGTATCTTGTCTGCCAGTCTCTTAGTTCACGTTTGTGTTTTTTTGGCTTCACTACACTTATATCTCTTGTTTTTAGTTCACAATATACTTGAATCTTTTAGGGGTTTTTTTGTTTGCTTGCTTCTGATCATTTCCAAATCATCAGCCTTTAACTGGTGGCGACTGTTTCACTTAAATGTTCACACACGGTTGGGTATTCCAGCCGGAAAAAAAGATCCCAAATGGAGGAATTCAGGCTGACATTAACCTTTTGCAAAATCCTGATTAGTACGATTCCAGGTATTTTCTGTGTCTGTGCAAACTGTTAACTCATATTGTTTGAACTTGTGCACTTGCTGCTTGTTGTTTGATAAATGGAAGTTTTATTATATGATTTTTCTGCTCCAGAGAAATAGGTTTGAGATATGTGATAATAAAACACATGACACTGTTTCTCACTCAAAACTGCATCTGCTGTCCTGCTGAAATGTGCTTATCATAAACCGTCTTCTGTCAGGAAAACAGTGACAGTGAACTACTTCAGCAGTGACAGCAAATTTTCTACAGAAGTCCCCTTTATAAACTTCCTTATTTAAAGTGAAAACTGTTTCTCAGAATGTGCCTTACTTTAATTAAATGTGAAATGACACTGAGCTGCGCACTTGTTCTCTGTTTTTCTATGACAGCCTTCCAGCTCTCTGAGTCTCGTCTGTCTTTCTCTGATTTGCCTCAGCTGGTGCTCTTCTACTCTCTGACCAGGTAGGAACATACTTTACTGCTTTTACCATACTTACAGCTGTGAGCTGAACCTTTTTGTTATTTGACTATGAGATATAGAGAGAAATAAAGTCAAATGGAGATTTTAAAATTGTCTTAAAACCCTTTAGGATATACAAGTAATGGCAACTTTAAAGTCTTACCAAACCTCATAAGCAAATTTAAACATCGTGTTGTTACAATGCCTTCAAGAAGTATTCATACCACTTCAATTTTTACACATTTTATGTAGTGTGTTTTTCCTTTTTCTGTTTTTATATCTTATGTTCTTATCTTTGTGTGAATCTACATGCCTTGATTGCCATTTACTTTGCTGTTGCACTAAAATCTCCCCCCTGTGGGGCAATAAAGTATATAATCAATCCTATTCTGCTCTATTGCCAGTCATGGAACCTGTGGTCCTGATAAATTTATTGTTCAGAGCGGCATCTAAATTAATTAGCTGTGCCAAATGCATCTCTTGGCTGCTTCCTTGATCAATTCAATCAATTATCTTCTGTTCAGATATCTAACCTGCTGTTCTGTTTAGGTATCGGAGCATATGTTGATAAGTTTGCAGTCGCTCCTTCCTGCCTCCACTTTTGAATAATGGATTGAAGAATGCTGTGTTAGAAGTTTAAAAAAAATAATGTATTGTTTTATGACCTAAACCTAACCAGACCTTCCTCACTGACCACTCTGCACTCCTTGGTCTTTATGACATTGTTTGTTTTCTGATGTGACAAACCACAGAAGAGCTGGATTTTTTATTTATTTATTTTTTTATTAAACTACATTTCAGTGGACTCTTGGATAATTAGGAGGCCTGAAATCAGATTAATCAATACCCAATGTATTCTTGTTTTGGTTAAAAAAAAAAAAAACATGTATTATTTTCCTTTCACTTCACTGTTATGCCAAGCATTGTGTTGCTGTATCATATTGAATCTGTAAGTTGTGTGAAATTCTTTTAGAGCTCCTTTCCTGCATACTTTCGAGATGTATTACTAAGGGTTGTGAATATTTTTACACATCTCTCTCTGTCTGTGTCAGGGATGTGCTGGCTGTCTGCCTGTCCATCCCCCGTTGGATCTACAGTCCAACCGAGATGAATCAAGATCGTCTCTCTGAGCTTGAACCTAGTGAGTCCTTGGTTCCAGTCTCCTGCATGAAAAATACAAAACTACAGTACTTTTAAAACCATGTTGAGTAATGATTTCTGCTCTGCAGAAACGTGGTTGTTCACACCACCTGAACAACAAGCAGAAGAAATGCCCAACAAGGAGCCAAGCCATGTGATGTGCTCCATTCAGGTATGTTATTTTGTAAGCGTGAGCAAGCGTACCCGCCAAACGAACAATTTCCCTGTTTTTACCCGGTGAGGAAGTTCAAAGTCCTGTAATCCTCTCAAAAGCTGCATCAGCACAAAACAAAAGATTCACTGAGAAACTTAAAGAGGAACTTTGAAAGTTAAATTCATACTAAAAATAATTCACTTCCTAGAGATGTGGAATAGGATAGCTTGTAACATTAGTTAGCCATTTAGTAAAAATAGTTCCAAGCTGTTGCTTGTCAAGCTTGTGGGTAGTTCCACATTTTTTTCTCCAAGTAAACCAAAAAGAAACATTGGAAACAGAAATGTTGCCCTTTGTACAGTCTTTGCATGCCCTCAACGGGTCAAATTATAATTATTTTCTGAGATAATTAGAACATTTTTCAGACTGCCTTGCTTTTAGACCCTCTTCAAGCATTTGGCATCCTGTGGTGAGTGAATCGTCTATAAATCAAATAGGAGCGTCAGCATGGTGTGCCGTCAGACCAGCAGAGGTTTGTTAACAAATTGTGTTTTTTAAAAGCATTTTCTATGATGGAGAATTTGCTTACTTTGCATTATGTCTACATGGACTGGATTTCTGGAAAGTTTTAAAAGTTATTTATGTTGGAGCCCACTTCATGCAATACACACTATTACAACATTAGTAAAACTGTTTTACAATTGTATTTTTCTCCCATCCATCATGATTTGTCCTGCCTCTATCTCCATTTCATTTCAAATGTAAATATAAGAGATCCTATTGCTGAGTGGAAATGGCAAACAGTGTCAAATTTTAATCACACTTGCTTAAATTTTAGTGAAGTAAAGTTTGTGGGCTTAGTTGAGGATCGCACTATGTATGTTACAGTATCAGAAGAATAAAAAGGCAAAGCAGAAGGGATATTATTTACTCAAAGCATGCTAACTGAATGCTATTGAAATTAATTGTGAGCACAAGTGGAAATAAAATACAGGTCAATTGAAGACATCATTGCAGCTGCACAATGTAGCAAATAGAAATTGCCATAGCAAACAAAAAACATGGAATTTCAAATGACTGTTTGTATGCAGTATTTGTCTATAATGTTTCCAATGACATGCATTAAAAGTTTGCTTTGCAATAATATTATTGTGAGTTGAATTACCCTGATGGCCAACCCTGAGCTTAGAGATCAAGATGCTAAGTTCATTAATGTGATGACAGGAAAGACATAGTAAGGAAAAAGGGGTTAATTACAGTTGATACTATCATATCTAATGTTATTATAATATTGCGATTTGATGTTTTTATTTCGTTATTACTGTGCAGTGACAGATCTGAGCAGTTATGACGTAAACATTGTTTTTCTATTTGTGTCTGCTAGTGATTTACTGAAAAGGGTCTCCATTTCTGTGAAAACCATGTAATAAAAGGGTTTAGTGTTAATAATAATGCAATTGTTCTCCCTATGCCTTTTAAAATGCTTGATATTCTCTGATGTGGAGATTAATATATGAGACGGACCAGTCAATCTTTCCAATCTTATTTTCTGCTCATCTGCTTGTTGTTCTGAAGCTGACTTCCGCTAATGGCGCCCTGTGCATCATAAATCCCCTCTACATTCATGAACATGGAGATGACTGGTTGACTCACCGGCCAGCGACTTTACAGTTATCAAGTTTCAGACGAGAGCGACGCCTGAGCACCACCCGGACTTGGGTCGGGGCTGGGATTCAAAGCAAACGAGCCATCTCACTGGACCAGGAATCCAAGGCTGCCAGTACAGAGGGATCAGGTCAGAGTCAAATGCATCAACACACAAACATTAAGCAGGTGATTGATCTTTAATTTAAAAGAGTGTGTTTTTTTTTTTTTTCGTTGAGCAGGTCTGACCAGAGCCAGGTCCGCTGATTCCCCTCTCACCCCACAAACGCCAACAGGAGTGGTCCTCAGGAGGCCCAGCCGGGATTTGGCGTGTACCATCCCTCAAAGAGCGAGCACGGGGAGCCTTTCCACGCCCACCACACCAGGAACACCTGAGCAGCACCGCCACAGCAGCCCCGTGCCTCAGTCTCCACACAGGGTGTCCTGGATTGAAGATGGAGTTTGGTTGCCTCCACCCAGGCCTTCGTCTTTGCTCCAGCCCCCATCGCTGGAGCTCGACTCGCTGTCCATCAGCAGCATAGAGGAGGAGCAAGAGTGCCAAATAACAGGCCCGGGGCCCCTCCACCCTTCAGCGCACCGCTTGGCTGGTAAGGTCATCAACCGTCTGTCGGCTGTGGGCCAGGCGCTCGGTGGTCTGGTGTCTCAGAAGAAGAGGCTGACCAATCGGGTGGTGGAGATGAGCGAGAGGAAAGGAAACGCCTTTGGAGAGGCAGTTAAAGGATTTGTAGAGATGACCCTGAAGGGAGGTTCTGACCCCACTGGGCCTATGGGAGCAGAGTACCTACAGGAAGTGAGGTCATCACTCTCGTCGCTCAGGGAGATCCTGTTGGATTATCCAGACATTCATGCCATACTGGACAGCATCACTGACTTGAATGACTCTGAGATTGGTGAGAGACATCTAAAATTCTCAAATACCCTTTTGTTGCCAAGATGCATTTTGTTCTTGTGTATATTTCTCATCATTTGTCTTTGCATCCTTCTCTAGACTCTCTGGTAGAGCTCGCTCTTCACAAAGTGGCCTTGAAGCCCGTCTCCTCCCATCTCTACTCCTGCATCCACACCTCCAGGACCAACGACGGCAGTTTTCAGCGTCTCCAGGGAAACTTCCTGTTGCTAGAAAAGAACGGGGTTGAAGAACTTGGTGGATCAAAAGGAGTTGGAGTCCCTGATTCTGTCACATTGGAGCGAATACAGCAGAGATGGGCCAGTATGCATGAGGCCTACTCCCCAAACAAGAAGAACCAGATCCTCCTCAAGGTCTGCAAGAGCATTTACCACAGCATGAGCACTAATGCTACTTCTGCTGCAGGTAATGTATGTTTGTTAATGTCCCGGTACTGAGTGAGGATGGGCCGGTACCTGAAACTCTGCTCTACTGCAGGTGCGGTGTTTGGAGCGGATGATTTCCTGCCTTGTTTGACCTGGGTTATCCTCCGTAGCAACTTGGTCAGCTTACAGGTGGACACGGACTACATGATGGAGCTGCTGGACCCCACACAGCTACAGGGAGAAGGTGAAACCAATAAGTGCCGTATTTTCCGGACTATAAGTAGCTTAATTTTAAAAACTGTGTCAAGAAGATTTTAAAAAAATGTATAGGTTGCATTTATTTAAAAATTGTTAAACTTGACTGGGGCCTTTGATCTGGTGACACATTGTGTTCAGTTGCTGTTCAACAAAATCTCTGAAAACTTTGGTTTCACTGCAAAAGCACTTTTGTTGACATAAAGGACAGAGAAGCTGGTCAAAGTTGAAAAGACGTGAGATTCACTTTCCAGCAGGACCGAAAACATACCTAAGTATTTATTAGAATGGCCTATTCAAAGCCCAGATCAAAATCCAGTAGAGAATTTGTGTCAAGATTTAATAAAATAATGTCACCCCATCCAGTCTGATGGCGCTGTTTTCAAAAGAATAAATCCGTTTCCAGACGTCCAAGAGGCTTGCAGGTGGTTCCACAAAGCCTTCAAATAGCTAAGCACATATGTGCTCCACACTTTTCAGATTTTTGTTTGTAATGTCTGTTTCCACTTCACTATCACCGAAAACATACATAAGTATTTATTTGAATGGCCTATTCAAAGCCCAGATCAATTTCCAGTAGAGAATTTGTGTCAACATTTTTTCTAACAAAAAAAAAAAATTAAGTTTTTGGATTTAATAGTGAAATGTGCAAATCTCAGCACTTTTACAAGGAAATATTCACTGAAATACAAAACCACAGCTTCCATACTGTGTTGTCTAAGGTTTATCAGTGTTGGTAAGACTCTCTTTTTTATCTTCTTTACAGGTGGCTACTATCTTACAACTCTATACGCCTCTCTTTTCTACATCACTAGCTTCCAGCCGCGGCTGGCTGCCCGCCAGCTCAGTGTGGAGGCCCAACACTCTATCAACCAATGGCATCGCAGACGCACGCTCCACTGCAACAAGTCCCGCCGCAGCATGCACAGACGGACGATTCGCAGGCAGACAGCCAAACAGAACTTGGAGACAGAAACTGAGAGCAAGAGTGAAAGTGGGGGAGAAAATGAGTCTGAAAACGCTGATGTTTCAGAGCGGCACACAAAAACTAGCACGGATGCTGAGTGGAGAACAAGTGAGAACACAGAGTGTGAACAGGAACTAGGAGACCAGCCACAGACCACAGTGCAGTCAGACTTTCAACCTGCAATGCAGCAAGAGGTGATGACCAGCGAACAGGAAGACAAGCTGAGCGTTTGCATAGAAACAGAGGAGGCTAAGGATGATTCTGACGGAGAACTGAGAGAAGACCTGAGGTGACAGACTTCTCTGTCACACTAGGACAGTTCTTTTTCTTCTAAAAGATTTTGGTGGTTACAGGGTAATCAGAGAGAGGAAGACATGTGGCAAATGTCAGCAGACCGGGAATTGATCCTGTGACCACTGCCACAAGGACTAAAGCCTCATTTCGTGGGTCGTGCTTTGCCCCTGCGCCACCACAGCACCCTGCATTAGAACAGTTTGTCAAAGTCTTTCCCCCTGGGTCAAACAAACCCTTCCTAAACCCACATTAATCACCCCTCTAAAACAGCATCATCTGCATTTTTACATCAAGAAAGTCCCTGATGTAGGTCTTAGTTGAGGGTGTTCAGAGTGTTGCTTTCATGTTTGGACCTGCCTCTGTGCGTTTCCGCTCTGTGTATCGACTTTATCTTCCTGTTCAGATGGTGATTCTAATTTAACCTGTGTATGTGTTTGTATTAGACCTGGTGCACAATGCTTCTAGCTCTTTGAAACCGGACATCAGGTTAACGTCTCCTGAACTCTGAACACCGAGAAGCAGAGTCAACGAATGAGTCAGTGGTCTTAAATTAGAGTTTGTTAATCAATATAGCCTTTCTAAAAGTCTTAAGGTGAATTACCTTGCAAAATTGTTCATACCCCTTGAACTTTTTAACATTTTATGACTTTATAACAATGTATATGTCATACGTTGGCATGGCCTGGTCAGAGTTTAGATCTAAATTCAAATAAGAAGCGATGAAGAGCTGTTTTGGCAAAAATTCAAAAGAAATTGTACATATGCAAAGATGGTGACATCTTTTGTTGTTTTCAGACTGAAAATTTTGATTTCTCAGAAACAAAAGGAGAAAAAAAGATTTTAAACCAAATAAATACAGTTTGGTTAACATTACATGCTATTTTTGATATTTCTCAGGGGGACCACTGACAGATGACCTGAGATGGACTTATCTAATATGTCAGTTAAGCTTCTATCATTTTTAGTATACAAATGCATATAATATTAAATACATGTCTGTGATCAGATTAAAGTTATGCACTGATGTGCTGTTGCTATTTCCTTTCAAATAGGCAGCTGCTTCGAAGCATCACTAGCTTGTTTCTTTATCACTGTACCTCTACAAATTGTTGCCAGTGGGGGTTTGTTATAGGTCAGTAATATTTAACTGAGATTTCTATCTTCAAGATTATATCTGTGTAGCACACACAAGCTTTTATTTATCAGACAGCGATAATGTTCCATGGATGTGTAGCACTGCTTGCTTCTAAATAAAGATCGCTTCTCCTCGCCGCTAACCTGCCTGGCATCCAACAGCATCTTGATTTAAAAATCGGTTTGGTTTTCAGTTCCCTGCAGAAACCTTGAGCCAATCAAAAGTTAAAATGATTAAAAGAGGAACATTTTGCTAACTCAGTAATTCGACAAAAATGATTTCCACCTGCACCACTAGATGGCAGCATTACACCTTCAATAACATCACTGTTTAGAAGCACGGCTCATAGTTTATCTAAAAAACAAGCTTTAGGAGTTTGGGTCTATTCAGAATAGTAACTAATTGTAAAGCTTGATCTAGAAGCAACTACTCTAATTAAAGCTGGAACGTTGGTGAACTTTAAAAACAACCTGAAAATGGATACAGATAATTATGAGTGAGAACAAAAACACATCTTGAAAGGCTGCAATAAGTGTGAGAAAAAAATTTTGTGATTGCATTTGGCCTGTTGTTTAAAATAAATATTGTATGCATTTTTAGTTTGTAGAAACTCCATTATTATAGAGAGGAAATGTCAGCAGTAGTTTGAAATGTATGCGCTCCACCAGACAGCAAACTTTGTAAACCTTCTGATTTCTTTATTTTGTGTCACTCTTCTGTCCCTTGGACACAATTTTACCCCTTAGAAGACTGCCATGGAAATATGCTTTTCAAATATCTTTAATTAATTCATTAACTTTGGTATTCACCATGCTAAACCAACATAGTCATAAAATTTCAGAAATTGTAAAAACAAATTAACTGAATTACTTCCTCATGTTCTCCTGAGTCCTGCTAATGACCTGATTATTTGACTCAGGTGTGCTGAAGCAGAGACTCATCTAAAAGTTGTCCTTCAAGGACCAGAGTTGAAAGGTTTGGAGCTTATCCTGAAATGCAAAACACGAGGAGTATCTATATATAAACTACTGCACATAAATTTGAGAGTTTTAAAGCTAAGATGTTGCAGTAAAATGAAGTTGTAGTGAAGAAGAGGCTCAAAACATGTCAAGTTCCAAATGAGGAGGGAAAAATTATTAATCAAGCGCTCCCTCGTAAGTGTTTAAGGAGGTTAAAGCTGAAGGTTAATAGATGCTGTTGAGTTTGAAGCGCAAGCTAAAGTAGCTGCTTGAGCTGCAGTTTGTGACCTGAAAGTTGTGACACTTAAAACACAGATCCTGTTCAAGTGAAAGACAACTGAATAAGCTCCAAGATCTGCATATGTTAAAAGCTAAAAAGCTCTAAGGGCTTTTTCTGGCTGCATTTCTTCATATCGAATTATTGCATAGTTATTTTTTTATTGCCTTTTAATCAACAGCCTGTAAATTCAAGTGTTCCAGCACAGGCTAATGAATGCACATGCACTGAGAATACACACATGTCAATAGTTATCCAGGGGCCCTCTTATGTAAATGTACACACTCAAAGTCATGGACACACACATATGGAACTATCTCGCCTCTGCATCCTGAACGCCCGAGCCAATCAAATTTGCCTAATGAGACATCTGGCATTCTGCCTGCATGTGGATGCTGAGCCCAGAAACAGCTGGGTCGTCTCACACACACGCACACACACACACACACAGACGCATGCACACACTTCGGCCTAAATCTGAGGAAAATGCTGTGGTCCAGACTAAACTAGCCAGAACCCAATCTTACACTATGACTCTCCTCTGAAACGCACTTCTTTTACACATGTGATATATTATGCATACATGAGTCTGTTACACACTCAGCACGGCCATAAATTAGATATATGGCAGTGGTGACTGCTGGAGGAAAGGGTGCAGTGAGAAGAGAGGAGTGGATGTGAAGTAAGGAGGAGGGGGGGCAGATGGCTGTGGCCTGAGGCATTAGAGGTACTTGCAACTAAACATTGAGACTGCTGCAAACGCACACATATCTCATATATATATATATAGTTGATTTTATGTTTTTGAGTGTAAAACATGAGAAGAATTTGATACACAGCATACATCTTGATTGAGTTTTTGTTTAACACAACTCGGTGTAACTGCATCTAGTGAGAGCTAATTAAGTGAAACCTCCTTTATATGTTGCTGAGAGTTTCTGCTTTTTTTAAATGGCACAGAATCAAACACAGTCATCATAAAAATCGTTACCTATTCTTTCACATTTTTAACCTTAATACTGTCTATCTCTGTCGTTAGACATGTGCAATACTGCACAGTTTGTTATTGATCCAATATTATATAAATACAAGACCAGCTTCTCCAATACCAACACCTAGTAATATTTAAAGTTTATATATAATCAAACTTCTGACCTTCAGGTGTTTTTGTATCTAAAAGTCTGAGAGATATCATTTGTGAAACAATGAGAGGAACATCTAAAATCTGGTACTGCTTTAATTGTCGAATTGGATTGAAAATCAACATTTATTTTAACCTGAAAATCTCACGAAAATAATTTCAAATGCTCCTTATTATTTTTCTCAACAAAATCATTATCCTCGCATCAGGGATTCTCGATTCTCCCCATAAAACTGTAATCAATGCGCCTCTGGTGCTTCACTAAGCTTCTTTTGATCCAAAGTTTATTGAATATTTCTGTTTTAATCCAAATAAAGCCTCCTCCAGGTTTCAGCATGTCTTATTTCGTATTAGCTTTTTTAAATTGTGTTATTTTCCTGTTTGCAGCTCTTAAATCAGTCCAGGTGACAAACACACACACACACACACACACACACACACACACAGTTTGGTTGCATCTTTACCATCCTGCACTGCTTTGTTCTTATCTGCCACATGTTCCCTTCTCTACACGTTTGTGTCTTTGTCTTTCCGGCGGCCTTTCAGAGACTTTCACCATCCAGCAGCTTGCCTCTGTCACAGCTTGTCCGCACACAGACAATGAGGTTTTCCCCCTGTTGCTTTACTCCTTTCAGTCCTGCTGGAGCTTCGACATTCCCTCTAAAGTCATTCAGTTCCTCCCTGTTCTCTTCCTCCTTTCCCCACTGCATTCCTCTGTTTCTTTTTTTACTTTCTCCACCCCTCCCCTCTTCCTCACTCCCCCTCCTCCCTTTTCTCCCCCTTGTCTGAACTCTGACAGGTGTGTAATTGAATGATTAATGATCAGAAGAGTGACCCTCCTCCTACACACACACAGACAGACACACACGCACACACACACACAAACTGATCATGTTAAAATGTGATTTTACATATTTATATGCACACTCACACACACACAAACTCCCAGTTTCACACAGGTGAGCACATTTTCACATCTCACACATTCATATTCCCCGCAGCAGCCCGAATGGTCAAAACCAGTAGGAGTCTTCAAACAAAGTGAAACATTATCAGGACTGTTGCGATTCGCTGAAAGTGAAATATATGGAGACGTGTCGACACAGTGGCAGCGCTGCACTGTCTCCTCAAAATGACAATCATATGGTTTGCATTTTGCAGAGCTGTTTCCTTCAGAACTGGTGAAAAAGTGCGTCATGCTTCAGTGTCTTTTAGAAGTTGAGCTAAAAGCTCAGATGACTGAATTTGTAGAACTAGATCTTCAAAGAATACATCCGTCTCTCCAGGAAGTTAAGATGTTGCAAATCCCTTAATTGTCGGCAAATGCTGTCCAACTTGCAATTTTCACCAGTCATCCCAACTTTTTCTGCAAATCTAACCAATCACCTTAACGTTTTATACATTTTCTTGTTTTCTGACCAATCTCTGCAACTCAGCTGACTTTTGACCAGTCCAAAAACAACCAAAGTAAGCAAAAAGACCTCAAAAAGGTGACTACGGGTGAGTGAATAGGGTGAGTTCTTGACTTTGGGCTATCGCCCCACCCATTCCATATAATGGGTTTAATTTATAGTCAGTGAACAAGATGTCTTCATTTAGTGGAAAACAATAAAACATAAAATTCTAATAGGATTTCAATACAAAGGATTGAAAAAGAAATGAAATCAGACACAAATAATTATTTGTAATAGGTTATCACTCTGAGGTTTAGTTGGGGGTCATAATATCTCACATGAGATGATTACCCAAAAAATAGAGCTTATAGCCGCAATCAAGAAAAGCAGGATGCAATAAACCTCAGCTAATTATTTACAGAAACAATTATAATTAAGTATGATGATTTCATAAAATACTTAGCTAGCCATCAGAGTCCCAAACCATTAGAAATGTTTTTCCAGATTAAATTTCTTTCTTTCTCGTCTGTCATGCAAGAGGTGTCACTTTTAGCCTACTTCATGTTGTCCAACAGGTCCTTGTGGTTTGTTGATCCTCCAAGCCTATAGCATAACAGCCATAACTGGATTTGGTGTGTGAAATTAGACCAAAACGTCTGGCTCATCACATAAATTCTTGATTTACGAAGGTACATATGTGGTAATGACCTGGAACATTTGAGAGTGATTAAACAATTTAAAATAAGCGATATCTAGCCGTGATATAAAGTCAATGTTGGGAAATGAAAATCAATAGTCACTGTAGAGAATTTCTAATAAAAGTAGTTCATAATTAGCTATAATTTCTTTCCTGTTCTCGTCCGGGTAAAAATTTTAAATCACCTGTATTTGTTGTTTTGACTCTGCGACACTTTTACATCTGAATTAATGAAAGAAAAAAGACAAATTCTCTTGTTTGTCCCCAGCAAGCTTGGCAGCAAGCCGGAGTTCAGCCTGCAGCTCTCGGAGGTCACAGTGAAGCAAACACTCCTCTGCTTCACGTGACAGCGTGTTGGGAAACATGGCAGGGAAAACAGTCCGGCGAGGAGCTGGAGGAGTAAAAGTGAGGCCAGCGTGGTCGAGGACTGAGTGTGTAAGGGGACAAAGAAATGAAAAGTAGAGGGGCTCCTGGGTCAGGACCTGGTGCCAAGGAGAACAACCATTTCCTGTTGACCTCCCACTGAACTCTGGCCCCTGACCTGTCCCTCCTTCTCCAGGCTGATTGGGGGCAGGGAGGAGAGGGTGTGGTGTGCAGGGTTTGTTGTGTGGTTGCAGAGCTGTGGATGGATGAAGGAGGACGCATCAGTGGACCTCTGATGGAAGAAGAAAACT